TCGAAGTCAATAAATGTTGACACCTCTGTTTTGGTTTTTTTCGAGGACAAAACACAAGCACTACAGGAAAATCCTTAAGGCGCTCTCAGAGCGGTGCCTGTGCGAAAGTAGCGATTCACATTGGATTTGAATCGCTGAAGATTGAATCCATTAGGAAAAACGTTCTCACGAAGTTTATTCCACATAAACGCAGTTCTCTAGATAAAAGAGTTCTTAAAACCCTTTCGGTCCTGTAGGGACATATAGGTTCCCAATGTATACCCATAAATTTCTGTAGCGGTCAATGTGAATGCAGAATAGCCGTAACTGGGACAATTCAGTAGTTTATAGTCATATTGTTGTTTCGTAGGATGCGGCAACATGGGAAATTGGCATGTGCGTTTTTTTATCACAATGTTTTCCAGTTGTGTTCGAAGTCGTTCATTGTTATGTGTGATTGAGGTTACGTTTACATCCTTGTCAAGATAAATCTTGTGATTTCGATCTCCTCAGTGACTTGTGGACATTCACAAGGTAAGTTGAAATCATTAGAAATTATTGATGTCTATTGATGAATCGATGGCTAAATTCAAAGGAAGGTCCAGTCTCAAGCAATATATGCCACTCAAACCCATAAAAAGAGGAGTGAAAATTTGGACTAGATGCGATTCATCGACAGGATATGTGTATGACATGAATATATATTGCGGTAAAGAAACTAATGTGCAAGAAGGGACTCTTGGAGAGCGAGTTGTGAATAAACTAGCCTCCACCGTCACTGGAAAACAAGTTACACTTAGATTTGACCGATTCTTCACATCTGTTCATCTAATGAATACTATCGACTATGCTTCAGTGGGAACATGTATGAAAGGTCGTAAAGACGTTCCTCGATTTGAAGGAAAATTGAACAGAGGTGAATCTCAAATTGTCGGTAACAGACAAGGTACTCTTGCCATTTGGTGGCAGGATACTAAAGATTTCATTGTCTTATCCAACTGCCACAAACCAACTATCATGAAAGTGAACAGAAAGATGAAAGATGGTTCTTTAACAGAAATAGATTGTCCAGAGGCTATTTCATTTTATAATAAAAAAATGGGTGGAGTAGATCTAGCCGATCAAATGACTTCATTTTACGATATAAATAGGAAGTCCCAGAAATGGTGGTGCAAAGTTTACTACAAACTCCTTATGATGGCAGTCTATAATTCATTTGTTGTGTTCAAGGAACTAACTCATAAACAAGTGAAATTCATACAATTTTTAGTCAAACTAGCAGAAAGTTTGAATGTATGAAACGCACGAGAAAAGTTGGACGTCATTCTAAATCTTCCGAACATAAAACTAATGTTGGAGACCACTTACCTGTTCAAGAAGAAAACAGAAGAAGATGTTATAGCTGCTCCCAGAAAAAGAGGGAAAGACGCACAAAGCTGAGGTGTAAAATGTGCAATTTACCGTTATGCATTGATTGTTTTACACCATTTCATTCTTAGAATAGGATACTGATGGGACATAATTGTCCCGCTATAAAATACCATTGGGACATATTGGTCCCTGTTTTTTTTCGTGAAACTGAGTAAAAAATTAATAAAATTTCATCGAGTTTACTTATTGTCTACTACCATCTCTCATATCCACCTGAAAAAATTACCAGAATCTTACAACAAAAAATCCGGATTGAAAGGGTTAAACAGTGAATTTCGATGTGTACTGAGTTGAACTCGACGATGAGAAGCCAGAGTCCGTCGCGTATTTCTGATATGTACCGCTCTTGGTAGAATCAAATGTGTCAAGTCACTTGAACACCTCCCGTGAAAGTATCTATAGAAGAGAGACAAATCGCCAACCTTTCTTCGATGTTCCAGGCTATAAAGGTTGCACGCGATGTTCGCGTCTCCAATCAGGCGGATGGCACTTTTCTGGATGGAATCCAGCAACTTCAGGGTATGTTTGGGGGCAGAGCTCCACACACGAAAACAATACTCCTTAGAAGGTCTGATCTGAGCTTTATAAAACATCAAAAGTTGTTGAGGTGTGTACAGTTTTCTGGTTCGGAACAGTGTTCCAAGCTTTCGAGAAGCAGCCTATGCAATTCCAGCGACATGATTGTGCCAAGACATATTGGTGTCCATTTTAACCCCCAACAAACTTATCGAAGCAGAAAGCGAAATTGTCTGATCTGACATTATAATATCCCGTTCGGAGACATTTATCTTCTTGGAGAAAACCGATGACTGGGTTTTTGTGGCATTGAAATGAGTATTGCAACCTCATGCTGCCGGTGAAGATGCGCCTCCGTAGCCGATGTCGTGGAATCCCTATATGGAATGACGAGATAAGTGTGAGCAAAGCAATATATTGGATTCTTGATTTTTTCCAATAAGTCGTTGATATTCAATACAGAGAGGATTGGAGATAATATGGATCCCTGGGGAACACCAGCGTTAATGGTGAAAGTATTTGAGAGATATCCATCGACGGTCACTTGCAGGGAACGTTCTTTCAGGAAACTGAAGAGTCATACACAGAAATGATCCGACAAGTCATAACATTGTTTGGCCAACAAATCCTCATGTCACACACGGTAAAAGGCCTTAGAAATATCAAGTGCAACAGATAAAATATTGACATGAATATTTCTTTAATGTATTTATTTATATTTGATATTTTATACCAATATTTTATAGGACGCTATTTATGCCATGATCAATAATGATGCACGGAAAAAGATCTATCAACTAGATGTTGAGTTTAGTCCAATAAAATTCTGTACATATTATTTTCATGGACACACATCTATAAACTAGATATTGGTTTCCATGAATAATCTTTTTAAGAATAAGAGCAATATAATCTAGAATTTAAGATTGTGTTCAACATCGATAATGAGTCATATGGTTTGATGTAACTAATGACTTTTAATAAGTCTGAAATCAGCATAAATTAGCTAAATATTCATTGCTATAAATACTTGGTTAGGAACTGTTTGCTAGATTGGCACCCCACCCCACACTTTTTTACACCAAATTTATTTTTAGTAAATAGATTTATGCTGATTTTAGACTTATTGAGTCATTAGTTACATTAAGCCATCTTAATCTTAAATTAATTTCGAATTATTTTTCATTTTCCACTTTTTAGTTTGGTTTGCTATTTTAAGCACATTTGTTTTAATAGTTTTAATATAAAATATATACGCATGCACAGACAGTGTGGTTGTCTCACTTGCTCCCACACAGAGATTGTGTGAGGAAATTATTTAATCCTGGCGATTCTGATCAGGATAATGGGACAATCTTATGAAATTATTGTATTGTTACCGATTCTTGATGAGTGTAAAAAGTTTAAAATACATCTGTCTGTTTGAAGTTAGTCAAAATCAACGCCAAAGGAGTCGGTTACAAACAAACATACAAGTGAAGCTAATATTCTGATCAGGATAACGAGATAAACTTATGAAATTATTGTATACTCACCGGTTTTTGATAAGTGTATAAAGTTTTAAATTCATCTGTTTCTTTAAAGCTAGTTAAAGTCGACTACAAAGAAATCGGTTACAAAGAAACAAACTTACAAGTCAAGCTAATATCCTGGTCAGGATAACGAGATGAACTTATGAAATTACAAAAAAAACAAACATACAAGTGAAGCTAATATCCTGATCAGGATAACGAGATAAGCTTATAAAATTACTGTATTGTCACCGATTTTTGATAAGAGTACAAAGTATAAAATACATGTCTGTTTAAAGTTGTTTAAGAATGTTATAGTGAACTTATCTTGTCGTTTCGGAAATAAAACCTGGCTCTGTTTTCATAATTCAAATCTAGTTTTCTTGAAGCAACATTAGAGAGGTTGACGTTTCTAAAAAGTTTCAAATTCATCAATTTAGAGATATTACTTAAAAATATATTTTTTTTACTGTCACCCTAAATGTGGGTACTTACGAAAGGCGTTTCTACTTAATGGCACTTCCATGATCAAGTTTGTATTAATATCTTGATAACTAGGCAATGAACAAATTCACAAATCCTGATATCATTGAAAACAATCAATTTTTGAATTAATGTTAAATTGTAGAAAAGGACAGTGAGAATGAGCCACTCTGTTATTCAGATGAAAGCCAAATCAAAAACATTTTTTTCCAGAGTAATATTATGGATTAGGCTAACTTTATAAATCGAGTTGAAAAAAGATTCACTCGAATTTAATTGAGCCTTTCAAGCGTTTTGCTTCACGATGAAAAATGAAGCTCTAGTAAAATGATCCTCTCTATCTTGTGATAGAGATGAATTATAATGAATAAGGTTCAAAAAGGTGCCAATTTTTTCAAGTCTTCGATATTAACAGCATTTTTATTTCTAGATACTTCTGGGCCTGGAGATTACGTAAATGCCTCAAAAAAATCAGCGGAGAATACAGAAAACGTTTGCAATTCGAGAATGAACGCGAAGAGCAGGAAAAACTAGAAGATGAAGCCCGAAAAAGAAAAGACCTCGTCAGCAAAGTCTTTCCTATGACTATGGCCGATTTCGCAATGCTTTACACCATGGTGGAACGTTGGAAGAAGAGCGAAATCTCAAGAATATCTTCCATGCACTGTGGCGCATCCAAAATAGCAGAATTCTATCTTCTACTCGACAAAGAAATAGAAATCTTACGCTCACTAGAAAAACTGAGGCATAAAGTAACGAGCGAAATGGAAGTTAAGAGGGTCCAAGATTTTTTCAAGGCGATAGGCAGCCCCATCAAATGGTACAGCGAGGGCAGTGGCTTGCACATCGAGATGGACACGCTGGAAACTCAGCGAGGAAGAGAATATTTTGCTCTATACAGAACGCTGTGCGAAAAGAACTTGAATACAGAACAACGGTTGGGTGTTTACGCGGAGGTCAAGTCTTACCTTATGAACCACAACTGTCACGAGAGCGGCGAAATTCTGAAGCTTATAGATCGCGTTTGCGAGCTTCTAGCAAGAGGAATCCAAGAAAAATTCTTGAAAACTTTAGAAAAAAGGATCGAAGCGATGGTTCTCCACCATTTCAAACAGGTAGAATGCAACGAGGGTGTCACTAGATACATGAATAAGCTGAAAGAGAGAAAGATGGAGAAGAGCTTGCTCTTCTGTCCCACCTGTCAGCAGCTGAAGACGATAGACGCCTTCAAGTTGAACGCTAGGACAGATAAGGTGAAAACCTGCACCAGTTGTAAATGGTTGGACAAAGCGGAGGAACCGTGGGTCGACCTTTTACCCTTCCGCTTCATTCTAAAGCAGATTAGGAATTATGAACGATTACAACATGCTGCCTCTTCCTTAGCCTTCATCTTGCAAGACAAAGACATTCACCACATCATAACCAATATTTGGCACGGCCATTCTGCCCTTTCCGAATGCAACGACATCTACCAGCTGAGGCTTTGTCGGTGGAGGAAAGAGGAAGAATGGTCGCCTTGGAATTGTATTTTACTCACTGCTGAGGAGGCCAAAGTTCACCTGAAAGTCGATAAGCTGGACACGGTATACGAGGAAGAGTTCATGAATCATGTGTTCAATAAGCACGCGCTGGCTAAAAAGCATTTCAAGCAACTGACGAGGTACGACAGGCATTTCACAGAGGCGGCCAAGGGGGATGCGAGGTTGGATGAGGATTCGGAATATTACAACAAACCAGTTCATGACTGTTTATTCGATTCGTGAAATAGTCAATAAACAATATGTAACCATCCATCACTTTGTTCATTTCTGCCATAATTCCGTGTGTAAATTATGCTTTTTTATTTTTCAATGTTTGAATTATTCGCGTTCTAATTTAATAGTACAAAATTTCACAGTACAGTCCAATTGAACATAATTACTTACGTCAAATTACGTGAATTTATTTTTGAACGAATTTCAATTCTAATGCACTCTACTTGATGATAGATGCCCAGAAGGTGAAATCGAACCACATTTCGTATAGGTGTGAAAAATGGACCAGGTATAACATCCCAAGAAATCCCAAAGAAGTAAGGCTTGGAATTACACCCTCTAAGGCGTTGATGAAAAGCTCAACTTTTGTTACAAACTTAGTAGAAGTGCTCCTGAAATGGATCACCTAAGGAGCTTTATTTCGTTCACATTCTTTGAAACAAAAAATCAGAATTGTGAAATCCCAGTGAGGCTGTCAAAATATTCTCACAATAATTATCAGTACATTAAAAAAGAAGGCAAGAGTACAAGTTGTTATCCCCCATCAACGGTGCCCTCACCTTGTCGTGTTGGCGGGGCTTGCGTTATTTTATGATCTCGAGAACCATAAAATCAGAAGAAGAAGGGTACCACCTCCTGCGGCACTGAGGGTTAGAATGAGTCCGCGGTAACCTTTGCCTGTTTGAAGAGTCAACTAAAAGGGAGACTCAATCCAGTGGTGTTATGCGACCCGTGCTGAAGAATGAATTATGATGATTTAGCCTCACATTCATGCAGGGGACTGGCTCCATGAATGTGGACCACCCTTAATAGACCACAACCACAAACGACAGGAAGCGAACTCTTCGAGAGATTCGGTGGGAGTTAATTCACAAGAGAACCTTAGATACCCCAAAACATGCAGCCCGAAATATTTTATGTGAATGTGAGGCACTGGATCACAGGATCACAGAAATAATTTATGAACAACTAAAATGATATCAAAAAGAATATGACATAAATTCAGCAAGGGACTGCAAACTAGCGTAGGGTAAAAGATTGTTGGGTGGGTGTCATGAAAAAGATGGGAGAAAAACGCAATAAGCAGTTATAGTCACAATAAGACTGTCAACGCCTTTTTTCACTTTTTTATGTTTTCTTTGAATTTTCTTGTAACAGAGTGCAAAACTTGAAGACTGGAAATATTGATTCGAGGAAAATCATCATCATACTTCATGTTGGTACCATAACATGATTAGGCATGAAAATTATTTATTGGACAGATACACATAATATCAATATTACGGATACCTCCTTGGTGCAAGAGTTCTATAATATTTGCTATTTCTTTAGAGATTGTTGATCATTCATTTCGAGTGGGTTGTTCAGAGTGCCTTTGTACTCTCAAAGGAGTACTCTCAATTAATGTGGTACAAATACTATGTTCTCTCTCCCTGAGCTTATATGAGATATGTCTATCAATGGTAGGTCACGGTAAAATGGTCTGTATAATGTAGGTATTTCAATATCACTTTACAATGATGTTATATCACACAATGTCGCCTATTTCACCTAACATAGCTTGCTAACACTTATAACTTGCAGTGAACTGAATTCCTTCGAGTTGCAAATTATTTCCTTTCCTGTAACTTCGTCTCAGATAACTCTTCTGCTTAATTCAGCGGCGTATCTGCTCCTCGGTCCGAACAACCACTGCCACAGTTGTGGCACGTATCGGCTATCGATTTTCTGCTTTCATTGTCGGTGAAGTGTACCTTTTGGTACGTTTTTCTGAATAATATTCGCTTGGATGTCGATTTATTTATAATCTCGAGTCTTTCTCTGTGATGATCTTGGTCGTGCCTAATAGATGAACTGCAGATACTCTCAACTTCATTTTCATTCTTTCGAAAGCAGTTTTCGAAACCTCGAGCCTATGGATGCGGGTAAAGTGTGTTGTCCTCCAACAGGCTCCAAAAATTCTTTTGGGTTTTGAGATGAGCCAAATCGATTTGTCTCTTGATATATTGTGACCTCGTAGGTCAGCATAAGTGCAGTGACCGTTTCGTCTTTCGAGCAACCGTTGGGTTCAAATGCTACTTCAAATTGTCGACGTGGAGGCTTCAGATTTCAGTTTGTTATGCTATCAGTGAGATTATACCCGCTAAAAACAGTGTAACTTGTCCAAGGAGGAACAGCTGGCTGACGATGTCGGTACGATCGAGTTGGTTCTTAGTTTGTACACCTCAACATTTACCTGTTTGCGCTTCCCCTTTGCCTCCAATTGCGAAATATTTTTTTTGCCACTCGCCTTCCTCACTTTTTTCCCTGTTCTTCTTCACTATTCTTCTTCCCATTAATTTTCTTGATCTTAGTGTTCTTTCCGCTTCTGTTTCATCGTCTCCTTTCGCTTCCTCTCTTATTAGTTTTATTTTTGGTCACCTTTCTTGTTCTTTCTGTTCTTTTATTTCATTGTCACTTCTATTTTACTCTTTTCTCTTGCATTATCTACTTCCTTTCTTTTATGTTCTTCCATTTCTTTGCCTCTTTTCTTTTTTGGTGTTCCAGATCTTCCAACGCCTCTCGGTATTATTATGCCCTTCTTGCCATTTCTTCTCCGATCTCAAGAAAAAACTATCGCTAGCGGAACGGTTAAAATGAAAAGATACTATTGATAGGATAATAAAGATGGATAAAGTCTTCGAAACGTCATCGGATAAGTTTTAAAATCTGTTTTACAACTATCCTGAGCAAGTAGAGGAGATCCTGCAGACAATTTCATCTAATTGTTCAAAAAACGTTAATCGTGTTTCTCGAATCAAATGATTTTATCAGTTCATCGTTCTAGATAATGCAACTGCAATTAGAGCTAGAAACGTAACTTTTCTTGTTACGACTGTGAATATATATACGGTTTGTTACTTTCACGAAAGGAATCAGTCATCGATGTCTGTTTTTTTATAAAACAGGATTTAGTAATCAACGGTAGGAAAACCGCTCCCATTTTCTAACTCTAACCGGATATTTGTCATCATATGTAAAACTAAAAATTGGTTCGTATTTTCAGTTTGTTATTGCCTACTACAGAGAAAAAATGAAAGTCTAAATAGTCAGGTATTGCGTTGTCTAACAGATGTATCTCATAAGAATCTTTCCCAAACATCAACCTTAGTGTAACTTTATCGATATTGGAGATAAGTAATCGATACATGCAAGTAATAAAAAAAATATGCATCATCTTTTAGCGAAATACTTTTTTTTTAATAGAAATCATTGCAGGTAACATTTTTCCTAGAAGTGAGATCAAGAAAAGATCAATATATAAGAAAATAATTATTTTCGCAGTAGAAATTAAAATTCCTTTCTTGAATAATTTTTTGTGACAATTGAAAATGGTCCCATTAGCTATAGACTGAATTCCACAGTTTTGGCAAAGTCGGCAGACAAGTTGAAAGATTTTGCCACTAACTAACAGTTTTGTCTGCAACAGATTAAATACGTCAGAGTTGTCTGCGGACATATCTTGTCAAGTTAGTTGAGCAACAAAGAAGTTTGTCACATGCCGAATCCGCGAAAGACCGCAGACTGAAACAGACAAACCTCTGTGTGTATGGCGGGCTAATGTCTTGAAACTAGAGTTTTCAATTCCTTGTCTTCTTGTTTCCGTCGGTTGTCTTCTTTGTGTCTTCTTTGTTCGTGTTTTTTCCTTTCATTAATTAAATGGTTTTTTGATCTTCCTTTATTTTTTATTTCATTAGTTTTCTCATTTTGTCGGGCATCATTTGGCAACATTTTACTGACAATAACTTCAGTTTGGGTAGAAGCATCAGTATCATTAGTCACCTGTGTGTTCGAATTTTTTAGGAGAGCTATTCTTTGTTCTGTTTGAGTTTGGGCGCTGCTAAAAAGTGTTCTCTTTTTATTCGCAAATTTCAGATCATTCAGACTGTTCTGCAATTCGCGAATGGTTTTTTGATACTCTTCAATTTTATTCAAGAAATCACTTTCCATCGTTAACGCTTCTTCGTAAAATAAATGATATTGTTTATTTAATTTCTCCATGGTATCTTCTTATTGGGCACTTTCAATTTTTAGCTCTTCGATGAGTTTAGAATAGAATAGAATGAGTTAATTATTATTTTTGTATTTGGAGCACATTCACGTGGAATAAATACTCCATGACACCTGATGCATACATAGTATCCATTTTTTAACTTTTTATTGCAGCACTAAAACACAAACTCACTAGTTTTTGAGGAGCACTCGGACAGATACCGATTACAGGCTGCCATACTGTATGTGCAATTTTTTCACACACGAAGGGTGAAGATTGAAAATTTTCCAGTCGGAAATGATCAATCCGGTCGAGATTTATATCTGCAATTATTTCAGCCTTTCTAGGAGATCACAAGATTAATGTTCACTGAGAACAATTTGCTGATATGCAGACCTGCAAAATAGTTCTTCCCATGCAGACTTTTGCTATCTGACGACGGGATAACTGCAAAATTCAATAGAAATAGTTGTTTCAGATAGAAACTTTCCTATCTTTTTTCATATGTGATTGATCCATACATCTCCTCAAAAAGTTTTTCTTGATATTTATTCTCCTTCTTCTAGAGTTTAAAATTAAAATAACCTGTTTTTTTGTTATTAGGATATTTTATCCTGAACAGAATTAATTTAATAGAAATGTTGAGTGTATCAAATTTCAGTATGAGTTTGGTTCAAATAGGCTTATAAGTGATGCTTGCTTATTTGATTATGATTCTGCTATCTAGGGCAATTGCAGAGTCATGATCGGTGATCCGATCATCACCTTTCCTGTGGTATTAAGGATGTTTCACTCGAATTATAACTTAAATGCCTCAAACTATTTCGAAGCACGTGTACATTAACCGTCACGCAGCGTACAGCAATACATATATAACATTGCGGTGCACGTAGGTACTTCAAACGGCAGACATTCATGTAACAAGAAAAATTGTAAAAAATGCACTGTCCACTCCTCCGTCGATGAGAACAACCGCGACATATCTGCTCCCCTCGAGGGCGAAGCC